TAATTTTCAAGGTAAACTTTATTTTCACCCATGCTACTCCTTGTTGCTATTCTTTACTCTTACTATTGCTCCTCCTCCTATCCCCTCAAAATCATTCTTCCATCCTATAGTCAGCTCACAGTCTTCTTCCCCTTCTTTTTTTTAAAATTAATTTATTTATCCTTAGAGGGGAAGGGAAGGAGAAAGGGAGAGAAACATCAATGTATGGTTGCCCTTTGCGAATCCCCTGCTGGGAACTGGCCTGCAGGGAACCAGCCTGCAACCCAGGTATGTGCCCTGACTGGGAATCGAACCGTGATTGTCTGGTTCGCAGGCCTGAGCTCAATCCACTGAGCTACACCAGCCAGGGCCTCCCCCTTCTTATAATATTCCTATTTTCTTTCCACTTTTATAAATTTTCATTTGTTTGGTGTGGATATTATGGTTATTGCTGTTTTCTTCCACAGTATTCCTATTCGTTCATTGTTTTTTTAATTTCATATATCATAGGTTACTCTCCCCCTGTCTTACTACATTTTGCCTTCCTCCTGCCCTTGCTTATTTGAGTTTGGGTTTTTTTTCCCTTTTAGTGGCCTGGATTCTATTCCTTACTCTTACCCTCCATCCTCTCAAAACCATTATTCTTTACTTTAGATATGTCATATTCTCTCTTCTCTTTCATATAATAATTTTATTCTCTTTTTGCTGTTATTAATCTTTGTTCAGCTGTCATTGTCACTGACCTTGTTGGGGCTTTTCTGCAATTTTGTTCCCTTTGGTTCACTACATTTTTTAATTTTATTTCAAACCTCATTATACTCTTCCCTTTTCTTACTCCATTTTGCCATCACTCTCCCATCTTACTTAACATTTTCAATTGTATTTTCTCCCTTCTTTGTCTTGTTTCTATTCCCTACTCTTATTATTTCTCTTCCCTCTCCCTGCTCAAAGTCATTTTCCTCTCCTTTAGCCACCTTATAGTCCACCTTATAATATTCTTAATCTCTCTCCACCTTTATTAATTTTTGCTCAACTGCAGTTGATATCGCTGCTGTAATGGCGGGTACTTTTGCTGGCTTTGGTTTTCTGGTGGATTTGGTTAATATTTGGTTAACTAGCACGTGTAGTATACCATACAAGATGTGGCGAGCGCTGTGACTCCATCAGCCAGCCAGAGGGGAGAAGCCACCAATGAATGAGCCACCAATAATCAAAGCCCAAGTACAACAAGAGCCCACACAAACTGAATAAAGAGCAAGCCTAGAGCACCCAGATCAGGAGATCAAGAGACTGCACCACTGAGTCCCACAGAACTCCTATCTCAGAAGTCCACCCCACGAAGACAGGCAGGCAAAGCAGAGCAACTTAAGATGCAGAAACAAGCAATGAGAATCATGTAAAATGGGGAGAAAAAGAAATAACCCCCAATCAAAAGGAAAGGAGGAATCTGTAGAAAAACAGATAAAAGAAATTGAGGCAAACAATCTATCAAACACAGAATTCAAAATAATAGTTATAAGGATGCTCAAGGAACTCAGTGAGAACTACAAGGAACTTTATGGGAGCTACAAGGAACTTGGTGGGAACTACAGCAGCATGAAAAAGGATGTAGAAACTATGAATAAGGACCAGGAGGAAATGAAGAATACAATATCTGAAATAAAAAACACACTAGAATGAATTAATTGCAGGCTAGGTGAAGCAGAGGACCAAATTAGCAAGCTGGGAGAAAGAAATACCCAGTCAGAGCAACAAAACGAAAAAAGACTCAAAAAGATGAGGATAGTTTAAGCGAGCCTCAGGACAACATGAAATGTAACAACAGTTGCATCACAGGAATATCATAAGGAGAAGAAAAGGAACAAGGGATAGAAAACCTGTTCGAAAAAATAATGACATAAACCTTCCCTAACATGGTGAGAGAAAAAGTCACGCAAGTTCAGGAAGCACAGAGGGCCCCAATCAAGATGAACCCAAAGAGGCCTACTCTAAGACACCTCACAATTAAAGTGGCAAAAAATGCAAAAAAAAAGTTAGAATGTTTATAGTAACCAGATATTATTTACATAAGAAAAAAACAGCAAAGCTACCACATAAATCTTAGAGAGCACCTTCCTCATTTCCCACCTCTCACCCCCATATTTCTCTCCAGTCAAGCCCCTTCCTTTCTGGCCCCTCCATGCCACGTCAGTTTAGGCTCTCACTGTCCCTCATGACTCTGGCTGGGCACCATGCCTCAGTCTCTCCCCTCTCCAGTCAGTCCTCCCATGCAAGCCAGAGCAGTCTTTCAAGAATGCCTATCTGTCCATGATACTCCTGCCTGAGCCTCTTGTGGGGCTGCCCAATGCCCCAGGAGGTGGTCCTCAACCCAAAAGGTGCACTGAATCTTCAGCACTGCATTTTTTAAATATATATTTTATTAATTATGCCATTACAGTTGTTCTATTTCCCCCCTTCATTCCCCTCCACCCTGCACAACCCTCCCCCACCATTCCCCCCCTTAGTTCATGAACACGTGTCTCAAGTTCTTTAGATTCTATATTTCCCATACTATTCTTGCCCTATCTATTTTCTACCTACCATCTATGCTACTTATTTTCTGTACCTTCTCCTCCTCCCACTCCCCTGTTGCTAACCCTCCATGTGATCTTCATTTCTATGGTTCCGCTCCTGATCTAGCTGTCCTCTTAGTTTGCTTTTGTTTTAGGTGTGGTTTGTAATAACTGTGAGTTTGCTGTCCTTTCACTGTTCATCTTTTTTATCTTCTTTTTCTTAGTTAAGTCCCTTTAATATTTCATATAATAAGGGCTTGGTAATGATGAACTTCTTGAATTTGATCTTATCTGAGAAGCACTTTATCTGACCTTCCATTCTAAATGAAAGCTTTGCTGGATAGAGCAATCTTGGATGTAGGTCTTTGGATTTCATGACTTGGAATACTTCTTTCCAGCCCCTTCTTGCCTGTAAGGTCTCTTTTGAGAAATCAGCTGACAGTCTGATGGGAACTCCTTTAGTAGGTGACTGTCCCCTTGCTGCTTCTAGGATTCTCTCCTTCATTTTAATCTTGGCTAATATAATGATGATGTGCCTTGGTGTGTTCCTTCTTGGGTCCAACTTCTTCGGGACTCTCTGAGCTTCCTGGATTTGCTGGAAGTCTATTTCCTTTGCCAGATTGGGGAAGTTCTCCCTTATTATTTGTCCAAGTAAGTGTTCCACTCATGGCTATTCCTCTTCCCCCTCTGGTACCCTATAATTCGGATGTTGGAGCGTTTAAAGATGTCCTGAAGGTTCCTAAGCCTCTCCTCATTTTTTGAATTCTTGTTTCTTCATCCTTTTCTGTTTGGTCATTTTTTTTCCTCCTTCTGATCCACTCCATTGATTTGAGTCCCAGTTTCCTTTCCATTACTATTGGTTTCCTGTGCATTTCCCTTCATTTCAATTAGTTTAGCTTTCATATGTTCCTCAAATTTGTGACTAAAATCAACCAGTTCTGTGAGCATCCTGATCACCAGTGTTTTGAACTGTGCATCTGAAAGTTTGGCTATTTCTTCATTGCTTAGATTTATGGGCTCTGGGGCTCTGAGTTGTTCTTGAGCCATGCTTTGATCTGTTCGTGCATGTTACATACGAGGAGCATAGCCTTAGTTGTTCACCAGGGCGGGGCTACCCCAGTGGCTGGTTTGTGATGTTATATGTGGGGGCGGGGTCAGAGAGGGACAATGGCAGTTCCCTCTGCTGCTTCCTGCTACTGGGGCCTGCGTGGTCCGTCTCACTGCTAGTTCCTTCTCTGGTTTATCTGCGTGCGAATGTGTGACTGCGATCAGCCCTCAGTGGGTCTGCCCGTTCTCCACACCTGGGATCTGCCCATGCCTGCTGGCACACCTGGGCCGCGCCCGAGTGGGTCCGGTGGATCTTTCCTCCCTGACCCCACTCTGCTGCTGGCTCTGCCCCTCTTACCGGTTTGGCTGAAGGGTTCATTATTGTCAGACTTCCGTGAAGTTCAATTTTCTGTGGTTTGGCTGCATTTTTGTTGTTAAAACTTTGTTGTTTTTACACTTGGTTGTGCGAGAAGGTGCAATGCTTTCACCTACGCCTCCATCTTGGCGGAAGTCCTTCAGCACTGCATTTTACAACCCTGCCCACCTCCCTCAGCTCTGCCACCACCTGACTTGCAGCTCCTGGCCCGCCCATGTCCCTTCATTCCTCCCCCAACTTTTTCCACCTGCCCATCCCTATAGGCCCATGCAAACATCATCTCCTTCTACATGCACTCCAGAATCTCTCATGTTTTCCCGTGGTACTCTGTATCACGGCACTGCGATCCTCCTCTTCTTTTTAAGATTTTATTTATTTTTAGAAAGAGGGCAAGGGAGGGAGAAACATGGATGTGTGAGAGAAACAATTGGTTGCCTCTTGCCCACTTCCAACTGGAGACCTGGCCTGCAACCCAGGCACATGCCCTGTCCAGAATCAAACCAACAATCAAACCAACAACCTTTTGGCTCACAGGTGGGCACGCAATCCACTGAGTCACACCAGCCAGTGCTAAGATCTTCTTTTCAGTTATTTCTTTTCTCTTCCTCCCTCCCTCCATCCAGCCCTCCACTATGAGCTACTTGAGGAGGGACTATACTTTAATGTCTTTACTAAATGAATCAGTGAATGTACAAATGAATCTGTAAAAGCAGAACCCAAACAGTAACTCTAAATGCATGTCAATCACATAAAAGTATCTGTAGAAAGATTGAGAGAGGCTGAATGGTAAACATTGTAAAGTTCATTTTTCTCTTTTCCAGCAAAGTGGCTTGAGCTGCTTTTAAAATTACTACCAGTAATTCACCCAATGAACAATTTATATTCAAATTAACTACAGTTTAAATCCCTATCAAACGAAATAGAAGTAGGAAAGAAAGCCATTTTCAGCTTTTACAATCAGATGGTAAGTTCAGGGCTTCTCTAGAACTAGCATCCCCTCTCCACCCCCTTCCCAATCAATGCAGCCCAGCTGTGTGCTTACTTACTGGAGTTCAGGAGGATCATGGCCTTGACACAGAGATACTCTTTGTGCTGGAGTTTTAACTCGCGAAACCTTGAAGTTGTTGCCAGGAGCATGTCAAAGATTTCCAGAATTCCTTCCACACATTTCCCTTCATCCCTACAAAAGTTCATTTGAAAATTTTAAAAATTATAGCTTTAGGCAAACATCAAAGGCAATAAGGAGTATTTTCTTTTTAATCTTAAATTTCATTCTGTACCCGCTTTAACTATAACAAGGTGGTGATGAGATCATACCCAGTGATGTGAAATAACTAGAATTACCTTCTTATAAAGAGGAAAGGGTAATTCCTCTAAGTGCCTGAAAGAAACATTTGAATAAATACTATTTAGACTAAAGTGCGCATTGGAACTACATTTTCTGTCTCCTGTTCATAAATGTTACCTTAAAGGAATAACACTTTTGTTGATAATCTAAACCATTTCAGCCAACTAGCCTGAGACATGACACATATTACTAAAATGAGACATTCCATGTTCCCATCTGAAGACTCTGAAACTGACCATTACAGAAGCAAGTATCCCAAGAAGGAACAGTCCTTCATATCTAGGGTTTAGTTCTCGTTGCCTCATAGTCATTGAGAAACTAGGGGGGCAAATAAAAGACACATAAATGTAATTTGGAAAAAAGCTGATATGACAAAGATATCACAATTAGAGAAGATGGACTAGAATTAGGAAAGGCAGAAATGGAGACATGGAAATTTTTGACTTGTCAAAGATTTATTTTGAAGCAGAAGTTTTAGACAAGCTTTGAACCATATTATCAAAAGTCTTTGAGCATTCCTTATAAAAATGAACCTTTAAGTAGACTTTTGAAGTAAATTAGTTTTACTGTGTCTGGAAAATACCAGCTTCAATTAACTCCAGCAAGACATATATTATTCTGCCTCACTGCTCTCCAAAAACTTCTATTATCATCAGTCCTGAAGTCACTGAAGTTCTTGACAAGCAGTTAGATGACTGTGTCACAAAACTGTCGTTTGCTTCTAATAGCCTGTGGTGCACAGTAAAGGGCAGCCATGGGTTTCTGAGAGTTGGGGACCGCCCTGCCTGGTTTCAGGAGCTGAAACCCCCCCATGGCTAAGGCTGAGTGAGCGACCTTCAGACCATAAACCACTAAGGACACAAAGCTTGTCTCTGGCAGCAAGCGCTGCTTCTGCTTCAGCTTCATCTCCCTGCCCCCAAAGCATGGTCGGATGGTTAGAGATAGCTGAGACCCCTCAGAGGGGGGCAACCTAAGCCTGACATAATCACTTGGGAGGCCATCATGGAACAACTTGGGGGGCTGCAACAGAAAGAGGGTGATGGACCCTCACCACCCCCCTAGTTTTGACAAAACTCAAGTCCCCATGTCCTCTGGGAGAAGCCCTTCCTGGCTCTAATCCACTTAAGCCTGAACACCTATGATGGGGAAGGTGGTGCAGCCCTGTGCTGGAAAGGGCAGGTTACCTGGGTGATCTGGCAAAGGGCAGAATTCCTAACAATCCTGTGAAGCCTGCTTTGCTAAGAATGCTTTTAGTTAAATGATAAAGCCCGGAGCAGAAAAAGAGTTTATGTGCCCAAAGTTCTGTAGCCTGTTAGCTAATAGACCCTGATCTAGAAGAAGCCCTAATGGTTCTTTGTATACTATCTACTGTTTACTGCCTGACAATGATTAATAAGTTGTACCTGAACTGCTGTGCAAAAAAAACGAGCCTGTCTAGGCGAGGGTCGGGGTGCTCTCCCCTTGAGGGAGTAGCTGGGCCATCCCTTTTCCTCGACAGGACTCGGTAGTCTGTGTGAATTTGTCTCATGTCTCATTCATGACACCGCAGGCACTGCAATGCAGTACACGCGTCATCTGAGAGATTCATTTTCAGTCTCTGTAGCAGCCCCTGAGGTGACCTGAGATGCTCAAAGAACTGGCTGTTTCTGTCTTCAATCCCCAACCCCAAGCCAGGACATTTGCCGTGATGGTGGTGGTTGGGGATGGGCCTCTGACACCAGTGGGTCCTGCCCAACCTGGTAAAGCGCTTCCTACTCCGTGCTCTGCTAAGACAGCAGCTCGCCAGGACCCTGCATGCCGCAGCGTTCAAAACCCTCACCCCTAGGCTCACCTACACAAAGCGACAAGCATGTACACTGCTCCCTCTGGCAAGAAAGCATAACTTCTGCAACCAGCTGAGGCTTTCTGAAAGCGCACAGAGTAAGAGGTAAAACACCAGTGTCCCCTAGAAGTCACTCATAGGGAAAGGCCACCGTGGAGAATCAGAGCCCTAGGCAAAGGGTGCTGAAATCTGTAGGAAACCCCCAACCCTCCCCACACCTCATCCTATGACATCCCCTGCTCTGCACTTTCCCAGGCAGCCTGCCACAAGTGTGCAAACAGAAGTACAAGAAATACTTGTTCACTAAATACCCCTCATGCCACATCATCAAATCACTCTGCCTGGGGACTGGAGGTAATCCTGGAAGCTGTAATTGTTGGGCCTGAGAACATATCATACTGGGAAAAGCTGGTTTTAAAATCTTGGGAGGCAAAAACAAAAAAATCCACCAACTCCTCCTACATTAATGGTTTAATAGCTGGCTCTGTACTCTTCTGTGAGACTGAGTCAGAGGTGAGTTATGCACACACACTCACCCTGCAAGCTGTATAAGGGGACTCATCTGAAGTCACCTCTATTTTGCAGAAGTTGCCACCTGAGTCTGAGAGTATGTCTCTAAATATTGAAATTAGAACCATTTCCTCATTAAAATACATGCCATTTTTAATGCAAATTCATTTTCCATAAGCCTGACAAATGCCATGACTACAGTAATAAGAACATACGTACCTCACAGAAAAGGTGAGTTTCCAAACCAGCTCTAAGAAGCTAGGTCTGCCTGCTTTCTCTCGCAGATGTGACAGCCAACCGTTTCGTTCAAGAGTTGGCAAGGTTAGAACACTTTACTTCACAGGCTATAGAAACTAAATACATTTCTAGAAAATAAATAACTATAGAGGCAATAAGGTACAGACTTCATAAATGATGCCCTAATAAAGTTCTACTTGAAACTGAGTTACACAGAACAGAGTGGGGAAGGACTTAAATCAATGAGCTCTGTATCACTTAACTTTTTAACTGCGATGGACAGTGGATGATGTGACAGAAATGGGACAGGATTGAAAGATTGGAATTCAAGACAGAGGGTATAAATTGAATGTTAAAACGCCGAAACAACATGTCAAACCAATCTACTACGGAAAATTCCTTTTGCACACCATTTGTCCATACACTAGTGCTAAATAAAAAAGTAGTGGAGCCCACAGGAGGAGACTTGATTTTAGGTGGTGAATGTACAATGCCATATACAGATGATGTGTTATGAACTGTACACTTGAAACCTATATAACCTTATTAATCAATGTTACCCCAATAAATTTGATAAAAGTATTTTTAAGTGGTAGTTCCATGTGGGCTACCTTATTATTCAATAACTACCACCCCTGTTTAGAAGAAAAATATTGTTTGATAGCAATGACACAGTGTTGAACGAGTGAGCTGCACTCTGGGGTACACTATTTTGTACCTACATAAATACCCACTGGCAGCACCCACGTGGCCACAGGCCTCAGTTTACCTCTGTGCGGGTGGCATGGAAAGGGGGTCTTAAGGCTTCATGCACAGAAGTGACTTAACTGTTGAACTCAGGTGAAACTTACCTGAGTACGAAAGGAAAGTGAACATTTAGAAGTGAAAAGTCTACTTTTGCTACTTTCATTGACTAATGTCAACGCAAATTTGGGACACTCACAGTTATATACATGATTCCACGGAACTCCAAAAACATCTGTAAGAGGGTCCAAGCCCAGAGCCTAACTTCCTCCGACTTTTTAATAACATTTAACATTAGACAGTTCTCTGTTGGTGCTATGGACACCAAATGTCTTAGCATGTATGGTTTTTTGAGTAATAGCAGCTCCCATTCTGTGGAAGACCTTCACCTGCCTTTGTGATTCCAGTGGTTACTGAGAGAACTACCTTGTTGGGAAGAAGCTAATGAGACAACCAGATTTTCCTCTCATCCTCAGTAGGTTTAAGTTTTCTTGCTGCAAAAGCCCCAACAAGAATAAAGGGAAGCAGAAATTACACTCTCGGTTTCCACAAATGGGTTAATTTAGTTGTATTTACTGCTTCTATGGCCATACTTGAAGGAACCGTGACAGGACAATCCACCAAAGGACAGTTGTTCGCAAGTAGTGTGAAAGTTACTTGTTCACTTTGTAGAAGAATTTCATAACTGAATTTCTTTATGGTGCATGGTCCCTGACTTTTTAAATAAGTAACATTTTGAATATTTTTGAATAAGCAACTCCTCCAAAAATATACTTATTACATATCTGTGATGCCTAGATACACATCTGTACATAACAGGTGCACTAAAAATCTTAGATTTAAAATCCTACACTTTACAGAGTTAATGTGTTTAAACATTATTAGTAAATGCAACAAAAATAACCACCATCAGCCACTTACTTGGAAGCGCCTGCTCAATGTCTGTGTTTGCAGTTCCCCCAAACTCCTCTTCTATAGTCAATAAACTAGATTTACATGTAGTAAAACATAATATTTTCAAATATTTTTAAAGAGTAATGTGCTTTTTAAAAGTAGTTTGTAAAAAAAAGACTTTTTTGTTTTCTCTTCTATTACCTAGCCAAAAGTACACCTAAAAGTTACCTTGGATTTGTGTTGATTCATAATAACTTCCACACATACTTACAGAAGTTTAAGAGCCCATACAAAGAGGAGAGTGAATTATAATAAAAACCAGGAATGAAACAGTCACTGAAAATAAACACTAAATGTGGCATCAATTTAAAAAACAAGACAAAAAGTAAAATAACTTAATCCCAAGTCTGCAAATGGATTGGTTCATCAAGGCATAGCATTTCTTCCTAGCACTGCCTTCTAGGAAAATTGAATGGGTATATTTGTGTGTGTGTGTGTGTGTGTGGGGATGAATATGGCTTTCACCTAGTGGAATGATGCAAATAAATCAATGAACAGGAGGGATGGCTTGATTGGCTGCTCAGCCTCTCAGCCTGCCTTGTGACAGATTCTGTGAGATGATAGCAGACTACACTTTTGAAGTGGGCAGAAGGTAGTATAGACTTGTTCTAAGACAAAAGGATAAAATACAAAAGAAAGTTAGTTTGCGGGACTTCCGCCAAGATGGAGGCATAGGTGGATGTGCCGTGCCTTCTCACACAACCAAGTTTAGAGACAACTAAATATTAGCAACAGAAAACACAGCCAGAACACGGAAAATTGAACTTTTCAGAAGTCCATTAACAACAAATTCTTCAGCCTGACCGGTAAGGGGCAAAACCAGCGGCTGGTGAAGCGGGGTTGCACAGGAAAACTCGGTCAGACGGACTCAGGCACGCGGATTCCAGGCGCCTGGAATCCAGGCGCAGGGTTGGACCTAGTGAACGACGGAGCGAGCGACCGCGGAGGAGACAGCGGGGGAGCGGGGCTGCGTGTTGACTGTGGTCGCGCATATGTGCGCGGGTGGACAGGCGAGGGAGTGGGCAATTGGACTGGGACCCAGCGGGTCCCCGCGGCAAGCAGCAGGGAGAGCGCTGCCATTTCCCTGCTCTGACCCCACCTCCACATACAGCGTCATAACCCAGCAACTCTGAGTGGCCCGGCCCAGGGGAACCACCTAAGGCGCTGCTCCTCACCCAGCTGTGAGAAACAGCAGAGGGGGTCGCCATTTCCCCGCTCTGACCACGCCCCCACATACAGCGTCACAACCCAGCGACCTGGGAGTCCAAGGCGCCGCTTCTCACACTTAAAGGGCCAGAACAGACCAAAAATGTCCCAAGATCTCAAAGCCCCAGAGCCCATAGATCTAAGCGATGAAGAAATAGCAAAACTCTCAGACGCACAGTTTAAAACACTGGTGATCAGGATCCTCACAGAACTGGTTGATTATAGCCACAAATTAGACAAATATATGAAGGCGAAACTAATTGAAATGAATGGAATTGCACAGGAAACCAATAGCGATGAAAAGGAAACTGGGACTCAAATCAATGGAGTGGACCAGAAGAAAGCAAATAATGGCCAAACAGAAAAGAGTCAAGAAGCAAGAATTCAAAGAAATGAGGAGAGGCTTAGGAACCTCCAGGACATCCATCTTTAAACACTCCAACATCCAAATTATAGGAGTACCAGAAGGGGGGAAGGAACAGCCACCAGTGGAAAACTTATTTGAACAAATAATAAAGGAGAATTTCCCCAATCTGGCAAAGGAAATAGACTTCCAGGAAATCCAGGAAGCTCAGAGAGTCCCAAAAAAGTTGGACCCAAGAAGGAACACACCAAGGCACATCATCATTACATTAGCCAAAATTAAAATGAAGGAGAGAATCCTAGAAGCAGCAAGAGCTAAGGGGACAGTCACCTACAAAGGAGTCCCCATCAGACTGTCAGCAGATTTCTCAAAAGAGACCTTACAGGCAAGAAGGGGCTGGAAAGAGGTATTCCAAGTCATGAAATCCAAAGACCTACAACCAAGATTGCTCTATCCAGCAAAACTTTCATTTAGAATGGAAGGACAGATAAAGTGCTTCTCAGATAAGATCAAATTCAAGGAGCTCATCATCACCAAGCCCTTATTATATGAAATGTTAAAGGGACTTATCTAAGAAAAAGAAGTTAAAGAAACATGAACAGTGAAAGGACAACAAACTCACAGTTATAACAACCACACCTAAAACAAAAGCAAACTAAAAGGACAGCTAGATCAGGAGTGGAAACATAGAAATGAAGAGCTCAAGGAGGGTTAGCAACAAGGGAGTGGGAGGAGGAGAAGGGGGGAGAAGGTACAGAAAATAAGTAGCATAGACAGTAGATAGAAAATAGATGGGGGGGGGCAAGAATAGCATGGGAAATATAGAATCTAAAGGCTTGACACATGGTCATAAACTAAAGGGGGGGTAATGGTGGGGATGGGGGGTAGGGTGGAGGGGAATGAAAAGGGGAATAGAACAACCGTAACAGCATAATCAATAAAAAAATTAAAAATTTTTTAAAAAAGCAAAAAAAAAAAACAAAGCAAAAGGAAAGTTAGTTTGCCTTTTAGCCTCCTCCTCTTTCCCCTTCCAGTTCTCTCTCCCACTGAGAGGCATGTACTGTTGCAGAAAAGAGTGCAGGTCTCACAGCCCCACCACCTACGACTCCGTAACTGTAGGGAAGTACCTAACCTCCCACTCCCACGTCTGAAGGACAGGGATAGCAGTGGTGCTTACCCAGAAAGGGCTGCTCTGGAGATGGGATGAATGAGCATGCACCGAATGCTAAAGATGGTGCCTGGCACACACAAGCCAATCCGTTAGCTGCTTTGATTGTTACTGGAGGGTCCTACCTGCCCAAGGCTTTCAGAACCTCCCTCTGAAAGCTTGCTCCTGCTTGAGCCCCACTCCCTAGTCCAGCTCTCCCCCAGGCTCTGTTCTGCACCAAAACACCTCCATTACCTAGAATAGTACTCTCCCATTGTTTTCATCCATGACAGGTAAAATGGTTGCTAATACCTTGGAGATATTCTTCACCTGCCTGACATGTGCAGGAGGGTTTTCTGATGATCTAAAGAGGTAACTCCAAGAGCTGGGGCAGCCACTTTTCATTCATAACCCTAGTTACCCTTCTACCTTGCACAGAGTGAAGTATGACTAAACATTCAACGCCAGAACTTTTTCAAAATAAGAAACATGGAAATCAATTTCTGTGGAGATTTTCAAACTGCTCAAATTTACACCAAAAAATTACCCCGCTTTCCCTACTAAAATGCGAGAGTGCTGTCTATTCCAGCTCTCCTTCCATGAACAGTTCACCTAAGTTCATTAAAAATCAGCTCCTTTTCTGTGCCATCTTTAAAAGGAAACTAAATGCAACCAAGTTACAGCATTTCCCAATTTCTATTAACTTTCATCGGTGTTAATGACCATTCCTTCCACTGCTATTGCCAAAAATGCTATATAGTACATGCAATTAAAAATGAGTTAAAGAACACTAAAATAAACCTGGCAGATTTGTAAGAATTTTATCACCTATCCAGATAGTTGGCAATGTAATTGCTCCTGACAGGTGGAAAGATCAGCAGGACAACTTAAAACTACAGTCAGAAAATGGAGTTTTTAATGCCAAAAAATCCAAGTTGATTTAGGTTCACTTGGTGGCCACGTACCCTGCAAAACACAGGCCCCATTATGGCTGCAACACTAGGAATGAGTCACAGAACACTGAATCCTTGTACCCACTCTCTCCTTTTTGGGTTCTTGACCCAGTGAAGGAGCTCGTGACATTGAAATTCTCTTAACTGCCCTTTCAGGTGTGAAATTTTAATTGCAGCACCCAGGGCTGTGTTCCCACTCACTCAACCATTCATTCAAGTCAAAGGAGAGACACAATGCATTTTTCTCACCTGTCCAGAATGAGGTTTGGAGCAAAGATGAGCTTGCCGGGGTGGTCAATGGAGCGCCACATCAGCCCTACCATTAGCACCTCCAGCCAGCAGCTCTCCAAGAGCCGCACTTGGTCATACAGGCTGAGCTCCACGAAGCCTGGGGAAAGCAAGAGGCTGTGAGACACACCGGCCCTCCTCCTCAGTTCCCTGTTTCTCTAGAAACAGAAGAGCAAGTTTTCAAAAGCTTTGAAAACACAAACAATAAGGGAATAATCCTATTTTAAAGAGGTGGTTATATGCTGACCTAAGGAAGAAAATTTTGAACTTATGGTACACAACTCAGTTTCCAGTCCTGGACCCCTACTAGGGGTAACTTATACTTCATTTAGAATTTATAAAGGACTGTTACCTGGGCATATACGGCTCCCCAGACAGATGCTAGTAAAGTATGGAAAGCTGGAACCAATCTTTGTGAGCTATATCCTAATAATTACCCTGCACTGCTGCCAGCCGGAGAGGCTATCTGTCTGACCCTGACCATGACTGGGGCTGGGAGAAGGAGGGGCGCCCAGAGAGAGCAGGGCCAGCCTCTGCAGAAAGTCAAAGCTTCAACTGAAAGGATTTTTCTGATTGCTTAAAATTTCCCATCCAATGTTAGAATCACCTTTCTCTATGTGGGAGCACTGACTCTAGGTTATTCTATTCTGAAGAGCCAATATAACAATTGAAGTAGGTCCCGACAGCCTGATAGCCTAACAGCATGCATTGGTCAAAGAACTGGAAAGTAAACAGGTAATTTCTAGGGAGGTGAGCACTTCAAAAGCAAATCAGAGATTTTTGGTGCTTTCTCCACAAGTCACGATAAAAGGAGGAAGCAGTGTAATAGAAATACAGTCACCAAATCCATGGTCTTGGTGTGTAATGGGCTCTGGTTAGAATTCCGGCTCAGCCTCTTCCTTGCTAGTTTCTTAATCCCCTTGTCTTTGTTTTCTTGTAGGCAAAATAGGGGTAAAAATGCCTGCCCCTGAGAACTTCCTACAGGCAGGATCTCTCGTCATCCCTGCTTTACAGATGAGGAAACTGGCACAGAGAGCAGACGTGGTTCACATCCTTGACAATTATAATGGAAACCTCCAGAAGAATTTAATGGAGTAATGAATGGAAAGATCGATAAATCCTTTCCAAAGCCACAATCTATGCTCAATTCAGGTTCCTAATATGTGTACATGTTCCAATTTTACCCACATTTATAGACAATAACCCCACCAAAATAGACCAAGCTTTTATACTTGTAGATGTTCAACAAGATCAAGACTAAGTGATACTTTCATTTTTTTTTTTGTTTGGACAAGAAATATATGAGATGGCATCAGGGGAGCAGGGAATAACAACTCCAGACCACACCTAAGTTTACTAAAAACTTTTCAAAATACCAGGTTTGAAAGGTCTGATGCAGCTTTAGAGTTTGGTTTTGTTACGGCACAAAGAAACTGCACATCTCTCCGCATTAATTAATTCCACCACTACTCTCCACGTGAGGTTCTGAAAAAATAGTGTTTGTAATACATATACTGCAAAAGCCAAAGGAAAAAGCATCAGTATTGTCTCCTATGGGCAAAAGCAGAGAAAGTAAAATAATATAATTCTGGCAAAGGCAAAGATGCTAGACTATCTAAACAGAAGCGGAAACCAGAAAATTGCCAGGAAGCTCAGAGCCAACAAATGATAGAAAGAGACACTATTACCCCAGGCCTGAGTCCCACAGCTCTTTACCCTCAACTGCTCTTCACCCAGCTTCTCCACACTCCCAGTCTTTCCAGTTCACTCACTGCAGATACTGTGCTCAGGCCATGGGAATTGTCCCTAGTGGCTTCGAACTTGGAGAGAGACCGCGTTTCTTAGATGACTGTAAAGATATGCAAGGATAAGCCCTTTCAGAGGGTGATGGGCTGCTGCCCATCTATGTTAGAATCCTAGATTCACTCTCACAGAAACGCCAATGCAAATAAAAATTAGATGGTAGTTTTAGCACAATGCAGTACTACAAGCACACATTACCAACTGGCTTGGGGAAATGATTGCATTACAGCATGGAAAATGCTGTTTCTGAATGATGAATGAATCATTAAACTTATTTTTAACCTGAGAGCATTTCAGGTTTACTGATGATTCATGTTATTTCAGTTGCTGATTTACTCTTTTTGTTCATATGTATTTGTTCATGTATATCCTATGAATTCTTTCTCTACTGGAAGAGTGGTTTATAAATCCCTACTTAGCATCTGACAAATCTTTTATTTTTGTATTAGTCATACTGCACCCACTCCACCTTCACCTGCCTACACCCCTCCTCTCAGGGTGAGGAGTCCTCGCCCAGGACACTGGTCACTGTGGAGCCCAGGTCCCTTCCTTTTAAAACATTTTCCAGGTCCCAGAGCCCTTGAATTTCCTGACCAAATGGCCCCAAGTCCATTTCCAAAGCCTGGCTGGGTCTCCTCCCTGGTCTACCCTCTCAGAACAGGCATGAGAGGTGACCAAAGGCTCATGTCCACAGATGGGTGGGCATGCAGTACAGGGTGTGCACAGGCCACGTGGGACGGGTCTGGGGGTGGGAACGCAGTTTTAGGAAAAGAACAGATGGGTCCCTGACATGTCCGGTAGAGACCTCAGTGGAGTCCAAACAGTCTAAATTGGAACCTGATCATCTAGACTGTGTGGAAGGTGGATATGTACAGACAGGAAGAAAGAACATATTTCATTTAAAGGTTACAAATCAAGCTGTCAAACTGTTAAATACAGAGACGTCTTTTGTGGACCACCACTTTGCACTCTTGCACTGTAAACATTTGAGGCAGGCCTTCCTACAAATACATGGGAAGCTAAGACGCAGAGAGCCCTACCTGGAATTTTCTTGGCCCAGCTGATCATGTGCACCAGTTCCTTGTCGGCCAGCTTGGTCAGGGACATCATCATGGAGGCCTCGGTGAACGGTGCGCTGGGGCGGTTCACCAGCACATTGGGCGGCTCTGCCTCGAGGAGTGTGAGGACCAGCTGCTCCGGGCTCAGGGCACTCAACAGCAGCTCCTTCACTCGGCTCACATGTCCACCATTTTTCTTGGCTTTGTTCAGACAGTGCAGCTGCTCTTTGGAACTTCTCTGCCTTTGTGCTATGCGGTACCCACATCTTTCTCTCCTGGAGCCTAAAGTGAAGAGCGGATGACAGTGCTTTCCCAGGCCCCTTCCTGAACCCAGCAGTAGAGTTCTCAGAGTAGTCAGCGTGAAAATGAAGAAATGTAAAACCTGGGTCTGTTCTCAGAATGCATCTTAGACCAGAAACCTGATTTTCTGAAGCCTGCAGGGTATGGACCAATTATTATTATACTCGTGACTGCGTTAGCAAAAATAAGTTACACAACATTTTAGGGACAACAGCCCGAATGATCTCAAGGTCTTCCTTTGGAGGTCATCTATGAATACCAAATCCATTTCCCTTTTAAAGGGTGCTGACATACTTCACTTTCTAAACCTTAAAAGTAGAAATTTTTTTCAGGCAGAAGATGGGGGAAAAGCTAGAAAATGAACATTGGTAATTCCAAACAGTTATCAAATAATACACTTTTATAATACATTCTTTTTTTTAAGATTTTGTTTATTTGTCTTTAGAGGGGAAGGGACAGAGAGAGGGAGAGAAATATCAATGTATGGTTGCCTCTCATGCATCCCCTGCTGGGAACTGGCCTGCAGCCCAGGTATGTGCCCTGACTGGGAATTGAACTGTGATCCTTTCATTCACAGGCCTAAGCTCAGTCCACTGAGCTATACCAGCCAGGGGTATAATACATTCTTAAAATGTTTGATTGCATGCATTTGTGTACATGTGTGTGCATACTCTTTTTACATACTCAAATAAGTCTTTCAAATAATCAATTGAAAAGATATGGAAAATATAGAAGAGCACAAATTTTGGCATAAATCCTTTGGTTTTTAATGCTTTTTTACTTTTTCCATATTTCATATGCAAAATGACATCATAGTGTATATACTATTTTATGAGCTTTTTATTATAAAATGTGCCATTTCATTATTTCAATTTAATAATCTGTATAGCATTCTGTTTTCTGAGTATAGCATCACTAATTTAAAGTGGCTCCAGTTGATGGAAATCTAGGTTGGTCATAATTTCTTTGTTAGTATAAATACTACAGTGAAAATGCATCTTTGTACATGTATCCAATTACTACTTCCTTCTAATAAATTCAAAGATGTCAAGTTGCTATAACAAAGCATACAAATATATATTTAAAATATTGATATATATTGACAGGTTATCATCCAAAAGTATTTTAAAATTTATAATCCAAATAATATTTTAAGGCTATGTATTTTTTCATAACACCACCACTGGTCATTAAAGATCATTTTTAATCTTTGCTAATCTGACTGCTGATTAAACAATCTAATTTCATTGTATTGTTTAATTACTAGCATAGTTGACAAATTTCTGTCTTTTCTTGTAAATCGCCTACTTGTTTCTCTTGTCCTCTTTCCCCCTAATGAGCTATAAAGGCATTTTATATAGTAACAAACAGCTTTTGTTGTATGCAACATTTGTCATGGTTTCTCTTGTCATCTGCAGTACATAGCCAAATGTATCTTTTTGTTTCCCATCAAAACTATACAAATACTCTCCTATATCTTCTTTAAGAACTTTATAATTAAAATCTATTTAAAATGTCATGCATGTTTTTCTCATGTCATATTGATATTTCATGTTATGTTTTTCCAAGTGCATGTGCAATTTTCCCAATAGTATTTATTGAATAAGCTTTCCCATTAAATTTTATAAAATGCCTTGTCATTTAAAAAATAATTGTGCCCTGGCCAGATGGGTCAGTTGGTTGGAGCATCATCTATGTATACCAAAAAGCTGTGAGTTCGAGTCCTGGTCAGGGAACATACCTAGGTTGGAGGTTCAGTCTCTAGCCAGGGCATATACAGAAGGCAAACAATCAATGTTTCTTTCTCACATCAGTCTTTTTCTCTCTCTGTCTTTCTTTCTCTCTGTCTCTCTCAAATCAATAAATATGTCCTCTGGTGTGAATTAAAAAATAATAGTTGTATATAAAAGTGTCTTCTTCTGGATTCTCTGTTTTATAGATCTATTTCTGTTTCTGTGTTGGTAAGGACATGTATAAAGGACACATGGACAAAGCCAAAGGTGGGTAGGATCAAAGGTGGGAAGTGGGGATGGCTGGGTTGGGGGGAGGGGGGAAAATGGAGACAACTATATTTGAACAATAATAAAGAAGTGTGGAAAAAAGGAAAATGTTTTGGTTACAGTAAGTTTATGAGCCAGAACACAATGAGATAATGGCTTTAAGATGGTGGGGGAGGGGAAATCCCTTCAATATAGAATAATATTCCAAGCTAAACCATTATTTAAGAGTGAGAATAAATTAAAGACATTTTCAGTTAAACAAAGAATAAGAAGCTAAATCACTCACAGCCCCTTTGAACTAATTACTATACTGCCTTGTTGTGAATGGAGAAAAATGACCAGAAGAAGTAATGTGATTCAAGAAACAATGGTTAGAAAATAAATTGGTAAGTATGAGACTGAATATAAAAAGTATTGAATGAATAAAATATTAATGACCAATTTTGGAGGTAGAGAAACAAGGTGGAACCAAAACCCTAGGCAATCACATAACATGTAAGATGAGAGGAGAATGATTTTAATTAGAACTTTCTAAGTTTCTTTATTTGAGCTGAGAGTTTTCTATTAGAGAACTGGCTTAAATTCTCAAATAATCAAGAATATATGAAATTTTGTCACTAAAAAAATTGAAAGAGAAAATATGACTTCTAAACTAGTAGAAGAGGATAAAGAAAACAAGAAAATGTGATCAACTCTAAAAAGGAAAAAAGTAGAAAATCATGATTAATTTTTTAAAAGCACAAAATAATATGACAGAAATGAACCCAAATATCAGTGATCACAATAAACATAAACAGACTAAGTTCCAGTGGTTAAAGACCAATGTAAAATTAAAATTAAGAAAGATGTGTTATCAGTCAGGATGTCATTAGCATGGGTACAAGTTTATATAAAATTCCCCTTAAAAATAATCTGAAAGTTCAAACCTGCAAAATGTCTAGATTCTATACTCCCATTATATTTGTTCACTAAATCCAATTGTCCACTTCAAAAAATATATTAATTAACAAGTATGAAAAAACTTAAATTATTTGCTCTCAACAAAATTTATCTGAATTTCCCTTTATCCTTGGCTAGTTGCAATACAAGGACTCTATCCACTCAGAGATATTCAAATCTAACTTATTACCAAAAGAATTAAAAGCCTAAACTATAATTCATTTTTATCAGTAATCACATAGAGTACTACAGATATCTTAAGATCGATTATTACCCCCATGGTGAAATGGAACAAAATGTAAGGTTTAAGAAAGTAACTTTCTGATCACCCCTTTCTTTTTTTGTAGAGCATATGAGGATAAGGAGTTTACAAAACAAGTTTACATACAAAATGAAAGGGTTTAAATCATACATTCAAATTTATTTGACTAATTTTCACTGATAAAGTGCTTATGTCCCAAGCCCTGTACTAAGTTATGGGGATTCTAGGATCAATAAAAAGAGGATCTTGACAAGGAACTCACATTGTTCTACCGAAGACAGTTGTCCTTGGTAGAACAATGACTGTCCTTGGTAGAACGACTGACACTGTAATCTAGGCAGAGTCACTCGATGTGCCTCTGAGCTTAATAAGAGTCTCTACCAAATGGGGGAGCTCCGCATTAGAAAGTGACCTTGACCATGACCACAATGGTAAATGATAATAATGGCAGTTATCACCTGCTGGAAGCTTGTGTGTGTCAGACCCCATTCATAGCACACAGATTATTTCACTCTGAGCACTGCTCTGGAAGACTGGTACTGTTGCCAGCTGTACTGTACAGAGGAGAAACCAGGAGCAAGGAATATCCAATAACTTGCCTAAGATAGAAAAGCTAAAAAATAGCAGAAGCACTATTTCATACCATCCCCCTATCAAATTTCTTTCATGCTCCCAACAAATTTCAAAATTTCATGTGCACCTGTATGCAGGTGAATTAAGAAACAGCATCTGAAAGATGCTGCATTGTCATCCCCACACAGGGAGATAGATCAAATCCATGGCTATTCAGATTGTTCTCCTGGCTATTTGCGTAAAATAAAAGCATTCTTATCTCAAGACTAAATTGTAAATCTTTTTAAAAAATATCCACTCACCTTAAAATACTGTAACTTAAACCATGAAACATTGATTTGCAATCTTTTGTCAGAGAGCAAGACTTTGCCTTCAAGCACCTCTGCGAATTAAATCACACTATTTTCCTGCATAAACTATACCCCTAATATATTTTTCTCTGAATTATCGGTTTCAGCTTCTTTAAAACAGAGCAAAAATTGAGGCACTCATAAAGCAATCTGAATTCAGAATCTTTCTAGTTTATAACCACCTGCATCTCACCCATACCTACCCGGCACAATCGCTACTACTCCTTTGTAGCTTTACTCAAAGCTTTCACGGAAACAACTGTGTTTTCCCACTCATACTTCATGTTTGCATACATTTTAGTTAGATTACATAACAATTCTGAAGAGTAGAAATAGGTTTGGGAAGAAGCCCACTGGTTACTGAAAAGGATATAACTGAAGGGGTGGGAGCAGAAACGTTCGAGTGTGGTAGAGGGTAACCAGTCCACACTGGGAGATCCCGGGCTTTGAGAGGATGTTTCCCACAGGAGGCTGGAAACATGGGTGGGACTGGGAAGCCAGAGAACTGTGCTCAAATTGAGAGAACTTCTGCTGTAATTCTGAACTAGGTGAGGGGTCTTGTCTATTGTCCATACAGAGAAAAGGAGGACAGAGAATGTTAAAGAGACAGCTACCAAGAGATTTTCAGAGAAAAAAGGGAGAGACTTTGTTTAAAATTTCAAAATGGTTATAAAGAGAGAAATTACAACTGACCACAGGCAAAATTTTGGCCAGCTGAAGAGTACAAAAAGTACAAGCAGAGCTATATAAAAATAAGCAGGTGTGTGCAGACAAGTGAATCGAAAGTCAGGCGAGTGGAGGGAGCAAGTTGTAGGCATCACTGTCAGTTATTATGCTGATGTGCTCATCTTCCTTTGCTTTATTTTCCTCTGCCTGTGTGTGCCTGAAGATACACCTATTTACTCTGGCATATGCACACACACACTGTCACAGAACAAGACTTACGCTCCGTGTGCTTTCCATAGTTCTCTCATGTTTCTGACTCCTATGTATTTCTTCCCACTTCTTGAAAGCTATTGGAGGGACAGGCATGAGTCTAGCTACGCCACCCACAGGACATGCCACTTTCTCATCACAGCTTTAACTGTGAACATTTACCAGACTTTCATCCTTAGACTTTCCAGGCCTCAGGCAGATGGTCGTCCAGCCCCGTGTGAGCACTCCGGTGGCCGAGTGCCCTAATTCACGTGGCAGCCTGCTCTGTTGTCACACCACTTGAACTGTGGAAAGTTATTCCCTGCACAGGCCCAAACCACCTCCTGTACCTTGCTCCCACTCTCTCCAGCTCTGTCTTCGGCAGATACAGGGAATGAGTCACTGCCCCCTAACGTGACAGCACGCAAATACTCAAAGATGACTGACAGATCCCAAAACTCCTCTCACCCAGAGTACAGGTCCCTGTAGCTTTCAGCATGTCCCACACGCAGTGAGAAGGGAAGGGGCACTCACCACACTTCACCATTCCGACTTCATGGCACTTCCGAAGTCGGCAGGCTTGGCAGCTTTTGCGCCGGTTCTTATCTATTGTGCACTGATTAGTAGCTGGACAAATGTAATCATTATGTCCTATAGCAAAGCAAAAAAAAGGAAGGTTATTGTTCCAATATCGTGGGTAAATATCTTCCTGGTCAACAACACGGATCATGCTACCGAGCTGAGAGATGTCGTCCTGATGACAGGCGCAGGTACGAGGCCAAAGTACGGCCTCATCCATGCCTTCTTAGCAAAAGAAACCTAGCAATATTTTTAATATCCTACTTTTTGACTAACAGGTTATTTCTCTACATTTACTTAGCATTCGCAAGAGATACATTTAGAAATACTCTCTGTTGGACATGGAAAGTGAGACACCTGGAATTGATTTGCTCCAAATCACAGAGCTCCTCAAATATCAGGTTGCCAAAACCAGCTGCTTATATTCTTTAACATATATCCCTCTTTGAGATTTAACATGATATTTTTATGGGAATTCATAGTCAAATAAAATCAGTGAACTAGTCCATAAGAGAATACGGAAATTAGCAAACTAAATGAGAACAAAAAGAACTGCTACTTAATAATGGCTTTAGATTAGATTATTATTCTCAATTCTTCAATCCCTCCCTTAGCCTTGTGGCCTTGCAGTGTACTGGAGTCGGCGGAGTATACTTCCCCACCAACTGATGGTGGGTTTGGCCATGGGACTTGCTTCTGCCAATGATGTCTTTGGAGGTGTGCTACTCCAATAGTTTGGCTTGGCCTCAGACAGCCACTGACTCAGAGAGAATATGGAGCCACATAGAGCAGATGTGAACTCAACCCTCAGTTTAGAGCCAAGCTTTGTGAAGGAGAGTCCACCTAACTCACTCATAAACCTACATCTAAGAAAAATAACGCTTGTTGGAGCCAGATAATAGCTATATAGCAATCTCTAACTAAAGACAATGATACTTCTTTTAATTCTTTTAAATAAGTAAGAGATAAGAAAATTTCCATTTCAGAAATTGTTTCAGATGCTACATGAAGGGTGGATTAGATCTACTACTAGTATAGATGGATATAATTTACTACTATAATTATCATACATTTAAATAATATGATAAATGTAGAATAAAAAACTGTGTGTGTAAGAGCAAAAATAAGCAAATGCCGTGATTTATGTTTTGTAATATTTGATTATATAGGTTCTATCATCTGTTACCTTTTGATAAGAAAATTAAGTTTGGAAGAGCAGAGGCCCTTGTCCACCTAGTTATGAAGATCTTAGGAGAGGTGGGTTTAAAGGAGATGAGGATTAGAGGAGATGTACAAGGAAGAATGGAGGAAATGACTGACATCTGAATACAGAAGAGTTAGAAAAAGACTAAAATATCTTGAATTTATATGATGTTGATAATTAACCACATATTTTCATATAACCAACCTCATTCATTTTTGGAACAACTCTGTATCTCCATTTCACAGAACAGAAGGCAGGCTGGAGGTAAAAATCAATGAACTACTAAGTGGAGGGTCCAGGATGAATGGGTGGTCACCTATTCAGGCTGAATTTTAGGAGATCCAACAGGAAGGTGACCCTTTATCTAACAATACTCTATCCCTACCCCTCTAGCCCCACCCTGGATTCTACCAGTGTCTCCGCTTGAGGTAAAATGTTCTCCTAATCCGGAGTTATCAGTGGGGTGAGTTAGCTTAGTAAATCTCTTTGCCATTTGTACACTGTAAATTCCTTTAAGGTTGCTTTTCTTAACTGGTTAAGAACAAGGCACTGAGGCTTTGATAGAAAGGGGAAGGGAGGGCTGTGTGAAGGGAACACAGGATGTTGCCTGAGAGGAGGGCTGTCCAGGGAGGAGTTACCGAGCAGAGAGACAGAGGAGAGCCAAGGAAGCAAGAAAGAGACTCCAGCCGCTCTTCTGGGTATCTATCTGAAAAATTTGAAAACATTTATTTGTCAAGATGTATGTATCCCTATGTCTGCTGCGTCATTATTCACAGTAGCCAAGACGGGGAAACAACCTCAGTGTCCTTCGATGGATGACTGGATAAAGACAATGCAGCACATACATGCAACGGAATACTACTCTGCCGTAAGAAAGGATCAAATACCGCCATTTGCAACAACATGTCGAAGCTTGAGAATATCATGCTAAGCAAAATAAGTGAGAGAGAGAGAACAAAACCCACATGGCTTCACTCATATTAGAATAGAAAACTGAAAGCCGCCAATGAAAAACAAAGCAAACAAACTCACAGACACAGACAGCAGTATGGTCGCTGCTGGAGGGGAAGATGGGGGGGGGGAGGATAAAGAGGGTAAAGGGGGCCAAATACATAGTGACAGAAAGAGACTAACTTCAGGTGGCGAGCCCACAATGCAATATACAGATGCTGTATCACAGAATTCGACACTTGAAACTTAATGTATTAACCAATGCCACCCCAATTAATTTAATTCAATCTAAAAAGAGAAAATGACTTCAGCAAATTTGGGCTGGCAAGGGAAGAATAGCATGGCAAGGAGAAGTGTGATAATGGGCTGACTGACCTTGCAACCAGGTGTGCACAATTTGAAAATGATTAATAGGTGATCTAAAAAAGCAACTCATTCCAGCAAAATTCGTAGAAGGGTAAAGAGAGAGAGAGTCTAAACCCAGACAAGAAAACAAAAAGGACCGTGAATGGAGGCTCCCTTAGTTGGGGGCAAGACTTGCCTCTAGATCAATTCTCAAAGCCCACTGGAGTTGAATTCCTGATTTCTGACCATTTCATAAGATGTATTCATTCTCTCTTCCTCGGGAGCCAGCCCACCATCATGATGGTTATGCATGCCAGATTTTAAACATAAGTCAAAGGAAGAAACGATCTTTGCCATTCCTAGCAAGCACACATTTTTTTCCCCAAGCTTTATCGTAACAAGGGCTGTAACTAGACATCTTCTCCCAAGAAGACAGTGGTAATGGTAGGTCAAGACCCACTTGGGTTCTGGGGTTCTGGGGTTCTGATTCACAACTTATAAAGTCCTCTACACTTGACACAATCCAACCCACACCCAAACACACATGATCCTCTCAACTGCTCATCAAGTACTTTGTGTATCAAAAAGGCCAGTGGTGAGATTTTTGCCAGGTCATCAGGAAAACTATTTAAAAGCAAAAGTGGAAAAGTAAAGAAACGCTAACAATACTCTTTTACCTTGAATGCTTCTTTTAAAAAAGGCCTTACATCCTTCACATGACCAGACTCCATAGTGATATCCTGAGGCATAGTCACTGCAGACGGCACAGACATGGGCATCTCTCTTCGAACCCGGACTGGTAACAGGGCTGACAGATCTGCTCTCGCTAACCTTCCTTTTCAGTGTCTCTCTGGAGGCAAAGAAAACATTCATTGTTTAAAGCATTAAGGGGAAAAGAAGGACTTTGCAGGAAAAAAGACAACCTAGCATGAACTTTGCCTCATTTATCTCTTTGCCCTCCAGGGTTCATGACAAATATATTCCAGGAAGAATGATCAAGCAAAACCTTTGTTACTGGTATCAGATCTATGAAGAGTTACATTCATTTTTGGGAATGACTAGTGTTTGAAAGTGGTGGGGTGAGTTTATGCCCCTCCATTCAGTGCTGATGAGCACTAGTAACTACAAATGGTCAGTTGTAGCCGTCAGGGTGCATGTCTCTAAGTGTAATAAGTGACCAGCTTCAGTTTTCCCCATAGTTCTGGACCACAAGCAGGTATGCTGTGGACTTCCACTGTGACTAGAGCTCATCAACCCTGCATGGCAGGGCCTAAACTCACCTAACTTTTTCCAAGTATCAGCCATTCCCATCAGTATCACTAAACAGCCCTTCCGAGTTTCCATTTCAATGGGGGAGACAAAAATCTTTCATTCTGCAATTTAAGATAAAAGCCTAGAATAAAAATAATTTTAAGAGAAGAAACAAAAGAAGAATATGAACTGTGTTATATTAAGGTAAATAGGAGACTGTGGTTTGGAGAGGAGGGAAGGGAAGAGATGGGGAGGGGGGGTGGGGAAGGGAAGGAAGACAAAAAGGGAGAGAGAAAGGGAAAGAGAAAAGAAGAGGGGAGAGAGTGAACACGTGTCTGTTCTTATAGAAGGCTATGAAAGCAGCAGGCACTCCCTGCTGGGTGGAGGACCATGGACTTTCACAGAAGAAGGCGAGCCCATCAAAGTAGCACTGGCCAGCACCAAAAACACTCCTGGTTAGTCCCTGACTTTGCTAGGCTGTGTTTGTTTTGGAAAGGAAACAGTAGAGGTATGATTGATTTATAAATGAACATAATTTTACTGTAGATTACGTTACTCAAATATTAGTAGACCTCTGATTAGAATGCATGCTCAGAAACAAAATATTTCTTCTGTTAAACACTGAAGGACTTCCAGTGAAGATGATGGCGTAGGTAAACATGGCTTGCTAACTCACAGAACCACATCAAAATTACAACAACATTATAGAACAACCATTACTCAAAACCAAAAAAAATAGAGTTTAATGGAAGTCTGAAAACAATGGAATTAAAGAAACAACATCCATCCAGTCTGGTAGAAGCAGAACAGGCTGGTCCCACATCCACGTGTGGTGGATAAAAATTCAGGAGGGATATCTTGGAAGTGAGGAGTCCCAGCCCACACCAGGCCCCCCAGACCAGGATTATAAGTCCCCATAATTTCTGGCTGCAAAAACCAGCAGGGATTGAGTCAGTGGAAGAAACTTCTGGAGTCCCAAGAAGTTCCTCTTAAAGGACCCACACGTGAACTTACTTAGACTCACTCCTTCTGAGACCCAGCACCAAGGTAGCAGCTTGAAAGGCACCTGTGGAATACAGGGAGGAACTGAAGTGTCTGGCATTAAGCGAGAGCTGGGGGGCAGCTTTCTTCCAGACAGAAAGGTGAGCAGAGCCACAGAGCCAGCAGAGTCCTATATCTGGGACTCCATAAACCAGGCTAACACTGTTTGCCCCACCCTGGAGATCCCCTGGGATTCAATCCCACCCAACTTACAGCCTCCAGCCCCCATACTTCTTGCTAAGTGGCCCCAGGCATGGCATTAGCAGCGACCAGTCTAGATTCCCAGCTTGGCTTTGTCTGGGATTCTCCAAGCCCAGCCAAGTAGCAGCCATCTTAGATTGCTCTATAGCTCAGACAGGGTGGCCCAAGGCAAAACACAGGTTGGGGATGACCTTGGCCTGCACCACTCAAAATCTAAGGGCCAATGCACCCAGTGGACAGCTACAGACCATGTCGGGGCACCACCACCCTACCCCTGCACAGCTGATCCTCCACAGAGAGTGGAGGTTGGTGGTTGGTGGTCATAGGAAGTCTTTGTAGATGACTGGCTTGGGTAAATCCCTCCCATTGACCTGCCAAAAATAACCAAGGCTCAACCACAAGAGGGGGGTATACTCAGCCCATGGTAAGAGCACACCTCAAGTACCCAGCTTGGATGATAGGGAAGGCTGTGCCACTGGACTGTACAGGACACCTATTACATTATGCCACACTACCAAGACATGGAATCAAAGCAGCTCTACCTGATACACAGAAACAAACACAGGGAGGCTGCCAAATTGAAGAAACAGAGAAACATGGCCCAAATGAAAGAACAGATCAAAACTCCAGAAAAAGAACTAGACAAAATGGAAGTAAACAATCTATCAGATGCAGAGTTCAAAAACACTGGTTATAAGGATGCTCAGGGAACTTAGTGAGAACCTCAACAGCATAAAAAAGAACCAGTTATAAATGAAGGATACACTAATTGAAATAAACAGAGAAACAACAGTAGAGTGGATGAAGTCGAGAATCAAATCCATGATTTGGAACATAAGGAAGCGAAAAAACAGCCAATTGGAACAACAAGAAGAAAAGAGAATAAAAAAATGAGGATAGTGTAAGCAGCCTGTGGGATAACTTTAAGCAATCCAGCATTTGTTTCATAAGGGTGCCAGAAGGAGAAGAGCAAGAGGAAGAAATTAGAAATCTCTCTGAAAAAATAATGAAAGAAAACTCCCTAATTTGATAAAGGAAATAGACACGCAAGTCCAGGAAGCACAGAGTCCCACATAAGATGGATGCGAAGAGGCCCACTCCAAACACGTCATAATTAAAATGTCAAAAGTTTGAAGATAAAGAGAAAATCTTAAAAGTAGCAGGGGAAAAGCAAACAATTACCTACAAAGGAGTTCCCATAAGACTGTCCGTGGATTTCTCAAAAAAAACTTTGCAGGCTAGAGGGGACTGGCAAGAAATATTCAAAGTCATGAAAAGCAGGGGACTACACCAAGATTGCTCCACCCAGCAAAGCTATCATTTAGAATCAAAGGGCAGATAGAAAGCTTCCCAGATAAGAAAAAAACTAAAGGAGTTCATCATCACCAAACCATTATTACATGAAATATTAAAAGGACTTCTCTAAGAAGATCAAAACTATGAACAATAAAATGGCAATAAACACATACCTGTCAACATTTGAACCTAAAAAACAAACTAAGAAAACAAGAACACAAATATATTGCATCATGGATACAGAGAGGATTTTGATGGTTGCCAGATGGGTGGGAAGTATAGGGAATGGGTGAAGAGATAAGAGGATCGAGAGGTATGAATAGGTAGTTACAGAATAGCCATGGGGATGTAAAGTACAGAATAGGAAATGGAGTAGCCAAAGAACTTACACGCACCGTGGACATGAACAATGGTGTGGGGATTGCCAGAGGGAGTAGAGACTGCTGGGTGGAGGGGGGCAAAGAAGGAAAAATCGGGACTATAATAACATAATAAATAAAACATAATTTTTTTAACAATGAAAAAAATGGTACTTTTAAGCAATTATTTACAAATTTATGTCCTCTTTTATTTTGTGACAAGATGTTTTTTAAAAAAGAAAAATACTGGCTTTCTCAAAGCTTTATAACAGCATTTAAAAGTAATGAATTTCAATATCCAATATGTCATAACTTAGACTTTGGTTGTTGTAGAAGTTTTTCTCTCTCTCATGCCCCCTTTCCCTCCAGACTGCCTATTCCCTCCATAGCCATAATTATCATTAAAAATATTACAAATTGCCCTGACCAGTGTGGCTTAGTTGGTTGGGCATCATCCCACAAAGTGAAAGGTTGCTGGCTGGATTCCTGGTCAGGGCACGTGCCTCAGTTGTGGGTTCTGTCCCTGGTTGGGGCTCACAAGAGGCAACTAGCCAATCTTTCTCATATCAATGTCTCTCTCCTCCTCTTTCTCCCTCACTTCCTTTCTCTCTAAAAATAAATATACTCTTTAAAATACACATATTAAAAATATTACAAATTACATAGAACTATCATGTTACCTTGCATTTATAGAATACATTTTTTTTAACTTCTAGAATTTTCAACTAAATTCTACATTTAAATAGATTCCCATTGATTTCTATAAAATATTATTTTAGTTCATTCTTAAAAAGTTTGTACCAATTCTTGTCTGTCTTTTCAGGCTTCACATGTCTAGTATTTTCATTTAAGTTGTAATACCACCACAGTTATTTTATCCTGCACACAGTTTGTCATGAACACTAAAGTGTGATTTCACTTACAAAATAAGGGTCAAAACTGAAAGTAAAAATTTATTTTTCAAACTTATTGTTAAAGATGGCAGTCCTAACAGTGAGTCCTCTCCACAGCACAGATGCCTGAGCGTGACTTCTAGTGAGAATGCCAATAGCAGAAGAGGTATTAGAGAATACCGTATTTTAAGTGCTCTAAGTATTCTATCTGACTAATCAAAAGCTTGTATAACACTTATCTTTCATTTCACTAAATCACAAAGTGATCTGAATAATGTCCATGAATGACAATGACGACTACATTTACCTGTTTACAGGTAAGGTGTGTTCTAGTGACCTTGCTTCACACCAAGGACTCTTTTGAGCTTCTGCATACAGAAGTGAAGACTGGCAGTGAATCGCTAAAGGAGAGAGGTGTCCAGAAGTTGGCCACAACACATGTGGGCTTGTGGTCTGTCGACCAGGTCCACCTTCTGAGTTGCTGACACTGCTGGGGATACTGTAATTCATCACAGCAGGGCTATAGAATGCCATGGCTGAATATTCACGGTGGCTCTCTACGTAGGAAGAAGGTATATATATGGGGCCATGCTCCAGAGGAAGGATGGGCTGACCGCAGTTGTAGGAGGCAGGAGAGTTAAGGCTAGACGGTGAGTTTTTTATATCCATGTCTTGAATAGGCAACATCTGAGAAAACTCCTTGCGAGAAGAGCCACAAAGGGACTCTATGATGTTTTCGGTCCCGTGGGCAGGTGTAATGGCTGGAAAGAGTAACAAGAGGCATTTCTAAGTTAGGTGGAGACACAGACATAACTATAAAAAAATGTTTAAGCATTACTATTAAACACACACATTGGTATGAGCTTAGAAATACATTCTGAAAGATATGCATGAAAATATTAACCTCAGAGGGACGGGAATATGAGGCATGAAATTCTCATTTTCTACTTCATTCACTTCTTCATTGCTTTTGTTGCCATTGTTAATGACAATATTTTACCCAAGTACTTTATTATAAAATGTTTTTTAAAATTAAAATACATAGGCTTATATGAAAAATGACTGCTTTTTTAAAACCTAGAACTAGATATAAGGTTGTTATAGAAAAATAATCCAGAATAAACTGGAAAATCCTGAAAGAGCAGATCAATGAGCTAGGCCAGCATTAACAGATATTCAATACACTGTGAGTAGCTGATAATAAAGAACAAGGAATCGACAGACCAATGTAACTGTGTCAGTTGTCAATTTACTGATGCTCAGCTTCTAATGCACCCTTCAATATATGCTCTTACAGGGGCGTCCAACCGTTTGGCATCTCTGCGCCACACTGGAATAAGAATTGTTGTCTTGGGCCACACATTAAATACATTGTGACACATAATCACAAAAGAATCTCATAGTGTCTTAAGCAAATTTACAATTTTGTATTGGGCCGCATTCACAGCCATCCTGGGCTGCTTTCCACCCAAGGGCCGCAGGTTGGACACCCCTGCTAGGATAAACCACCGAATTCCTGCCTTATTTTAAATGAGCCAGTGATAAATTTGCTTAGTAGAGGATGCTGCAGGCACAATGCAGGAGGAGGAGGATGCTGTGATTTCTGGCCCTGACAGAGGCTGGCAGTGTGGATGAGAACATGCAATGGAGCGTGATCCAGCCACAGGTCCATCCAAGGTCCCACCGAAAACTTACAGCCTCAACATTGTGATAACCTGTCCACAATCAACCACCTGGACTATGACCCAAGGACTTGCACAGAGAAGTTGTTCCTCCTGTAATGCCCCTCACACCAAGTGACCTGCACACTCTAAAGGCCTTCTGCCCCTGCAGGTAGGTACCTGGACTCCTGGGGGATGCCCATGCCATGTGCCACTGGTCACCAGCTCCCAATCTGCAGCCCCAGACCAGCTCTGGCCTGGCTAAACCAGTGAACATCTCTGCTAGTTAAACCACCTTCTCCCCTGAAGTCTGACCCCTTCTGAGTCTGCCGTTCCGTGGGCACTCTATCTCAGTTCTAGGGTAGGATATAGAGTTTTCTTATATCTTATACTTAGTTTCTCTGCATAGTTAACTAATTCTTCACATTAGACCTCCTCTATTGAACTTATTGTATACTTTCTAACTCCTGATTAAGCCCAGACTGCTGTATAACAGAATGGAAAACTTCAAAATGGCAAATATAGAAGTTTTGGGAAATTTGGTAATGATAAAAAGTGGTATCTCAGGGGAAACAACAAACAGCAGAACTGCCACTGGAAGAAGAATGTAAGCCAGAATAAACTCCTAATGGGTCAGAGACCCAAATGCTAAGAGAAATGGAAGGAAGACCAAGGAGGAGGGGTAGGGGCTGCAGCCAACGAAGTATAAAACCTTTTATAACATGGGTGTGGGGAAACCTTCTCAACTGTGGCTCCACATCCAGAGGCAATAAAAAGATGCACATAAAAGTACATCAATTTGGTATATAAAAGTAAATTTTGGCATATCGCAGAACACACCATAGGCTACAGGTAGCAAACACAAGGCCCACGGGCGGAATCCGGCCAGCCTTCCATCTTGTTTTATCCGGCCCAGCACCTTATTTCTACCCGGTGGTAGCACCAAGTTCTTGCTTCATTGTTAAGGAGTAGTCACATTTACACAGTCGTAAAGTTCCATTTGGAGGCAACCATGAGGCTGATGTGGCCTGCAGTGAAAATGAGTTTGACACCCCTGCCATAGGCAAAGTCAAAAGACCAGTGACAAACTGGAAATAAAAATATCCTCAACTTACATTAGAAACAAGGGGATTATCTACCTGGTTAGTATATTAAAAACAACAACAACTTAATTTAAAATAAAGACAGCAGAAATTTACTAGAAAAACTGGCCGAACACATGAACAGGTAGAGCACAGAAAAGGGAAAGCAAATGGCTCTTGAAACAATAAGATGTTTGACTCCATTCATAAGAGATATAAGCTAGAGCTGTACACCAAGATACCATTCTCATTAATCGTGTTCAGTAAAAACTCACATTTGGCAGCAGATTCCCATGGAAAAACAGGGCTCTTTCCCACACTGCTGGTCGGAGTGCAAATCGCATAACCTCCGTGGGTGTTTGTATATATAGTAACAGGTAGCTGCCTATAACAAAATTGCATATGCTTTTGTCCTTTGGACTATGAGTTCATAATGTGAATCAAAAAGAAAAAAAAGGGAATCATTTATTATTATTGCCAGTAATTGATACACCAGTTCTTCACCCTGAAAATTAGTAATTAAAGGGAAAGAATTAAGCCTGCAACCTGCCTTTTTAAGAGGATCTTTAGATTATTCCCAGGTCAAGGGGAAACCTTTCTTTATGAAAGAATGCCACCTAACAAATAGTTCACAGAAAATATTTGGATGGATAGATTAGATAAATAAGTCAAAATGTTAACAATGATTTAATCTAGATGGTGGATGTATGGACTTTCAATATACCAGTCTTTCTGTAAGTTTTGTAATTTTTCTGTAAGTTTGAAATTTTTCATGATAAAAAACTTTGGAGGGACAAAAACCACAAAATAATACAAGATTAAAAATGAGAGCCTTAAAACAAAAGGAAAGAATAACTGGAATAATATAATGTATGCAAGGGAACAATGACCACTACTAAACAATGAAGATCTGTGAGAGAGACCATTAGTTCTCCATCATTCACACTTTCAGCTCCAGAGGTCACCTAATCCCACATGTGGGCAACTTGGCTATTTCAAGCCCCCTGTGCCTTCCTCCCAACATTTCTACTTGAACCCTTGCTCCATCTGTCCTCAAAACACAACACATCGATGGTGTTTTTAAAATTCTTTAACACTTCTCTCTTTAAAGGTGGAGCCTCATCTCCCCCTTGAGAGTGGGCTAAATTTGGTGATTCAATTCTAATGAAGAAGTTATGGCAGAAGAAACGGTATGTGACTCCCAAGACGAGGTCCTAAAAGGCACAGCAGCCTCCTCCTGGCCTGCTCTCGTGGAGCCCTCACTCTCGGGAAAGTTACATGCCATACTGTGGGGACCCTCAAGCAACCCTAAGGAAATTTCCTGCCAATGGCTGGCAAGGAGCTGCAGCCTCCAGCCAACAGCTACGTGAGTGAGCTATTTGGGAGGCTGATCCTCCAGCCCCCTTCAAGCTTTTAGGTGACTGTAGCCCTGGCTGACACCTTGACTGTTAGCCAACTCGACTGCTAAACTATATAATAATTACCTAATGTTGTGTAACAAATTATTACAATATCCAAGTTAAAATTCATCATTTTCCAGCCCCAAACCACTCCTTTATTTCCTATTAGTGTTAATGACAAAGCACAGTATAATTTGACTTCTCCCCTTCATCCAATGACCTCTAATCACCAAGGCACACTGGTTTTTTCCTCCACAGTGCCTTTCCCACACTGTCTTTAGCCACCATCTGAGCAAGCTCTCATTACTTCTTATCTGTGCATCTGCAATCGGCTCCTTACTACTCCTTGTACCTTACTCCTTACTAGCTCTTTCTCCAGACGCAGAGAGCAGCCCGATTAACGTTCTTCGAACCCAGCTCTAATCAGGCCTCTGCTTCCCACCAGCCTCTGCAGAAAGTCACGGTCTTCTAACAGTCAAAGTCTTCCACTGTGTTGTCCCATCCCATCATCCACTCTGATCTGCTCATTTCCTACAGGAAACCTGCCATGTCCAGGAGGTAAAGTCCACTGTGAAGTGGTTGGCATTTTATGCCTTAGCAAGTTTTTCACTCTTAACAGCCCTATAATTATTAACATATAAATGTAATCCTTTTTATTAGATTACAACTATATCAAATCTTTCCTAGGTGGGGCTTCCAGCCAAGATGGAGGCATAGGTGGAAACACTGTGCCTCCTCGTACAAATGAAATTAAGGACATCAAAGATTTAGAAACAAAACCACAACCAGAACAGACAGAAAATTGAACTGTATGGAAGTCTGACAACCATTCAACCAGACTGGTAAGAGGGGCGGAGTCGGCGGCCAGCAGAGAGGGAGGGATCTCAGCAGGAAAAGGCAGTGGCAGCCAGACCCGGAAGTGCAGGCAGTGAAGAGCGGACCTCGGTCACACATTCTCAAACAGATAAATGAGGCAAACAAGCAGTGAGACAGAGTGTGCAACCCAGGGCCCCAGTGACAGGAAATAAAGCCTAAAGGCTCTGATTGAAAAGGTGCTGGGAGAGACTCCCAGCCTCACAGGAGAGTTTGTTGGAGAGACCCTCAGGGTCCTAGAATGTACACAAGCCCACCCACCCAGGAATCAGCACCAGAAGGGCCCAATTTGCTTATGGGAAGCAGCAGCAGGGACTGAAATCTGAGACAATGGAGCAAGCACCGTTGCTCCCTCTCTGACCCTGCCCCCACATACAGCATTACAATCCGGCCACTGGGTTGCCCCACCCTGGTGAACACCTAAGGCTCTGCCACTCACACATAACAGGTGTGACCTGACCAAAAATGGCTCAATCAGAAGAAAAAAATCAAAACCCCAGAGCCAATACTTTTAAGCGACCAAGAGGGAGCCAACCTATCAGATGCACAGTTCAAAACACTGGTGATCAGGATGCTCACAGAACTGGTTGATTCTAGTTGCAAATTAGATGAAGAAAATGAAGGCTACACTAAGTGAAATGAAGGAAAATGCACAGGGAACCAATAGTGAT